GAGTTATACCTATGAGAGGAAACGGACCTGCAATGGTATGTGTAAATAACACACCGGATTCCCCATCCAGGCCGAAGAAGAGTGCCAGGCATCCCAGCATTACCCCAACGACTCAGTTTCAATCACTGTCAACGCGATTCTCTCTCTCTCCCAGAAGTAAAATGGTTGCCTGCAGCGTGCCTGCTTCAGTGTGTTACACTTAGTAGTTCGTTCACTATACAGGAGACCGTAAGCTTCAGTCAATCAACCATAGTGAGGAACCAGATAACATACGCATCGGTTGCCACCAAGCACACACTAGAAATAACACCGGTAACCTTGGTGGCCGGACTAGAGAAAATGTCGCAGCACGGATGGCTCCTATCAGTGCCGTTCACAAATTCACCAAAAGCACCGGAAACTAAGGCTCTAAAATAAGTAGCCACCGTGCGCAACCATGGTGCCTTAAATCTAGTGTGCACTAATGTCCCCGAATACAAATGCAGTAAAATTAATGGTAGGCTGACAGACGATCGAAATCAATGGAATTCCATCTGTACGGTAACTGGTGTCCATGCTTATCCTACAACATTAAAACGCATCTCGCGTCACTAAAATGCATTGCACTACTGTGAGCCCCGGTTACTACGGGTGACACTGAACGCTGGGGATGAGGCAGAGAATGTACTGCTGTCCGTGAATCGACTTCGCAACGTCTTAAGTGGAGTGCGCATGCTACTTGAAATCCGGTGGAAAGAAGGTGCAGCGGATCCAACTAACAGAGAGAGGAACAGAAAAGTCAAGTTAAGAAAACTGTGATTGCGCACGGTGTTCCTGAGCCTACTGATTCCTCTTCCGACGAGGTGCTGGTAAACGACCGGGAGCAATGGCACTACATCCGTGAGGCGCTTTCTCTCGAAAATATCGTGGCTACTTCGTTAACAAGGATCCCCTTATCACCGAACTATAAGGGGTGCGGTCCCAGGCCGTTGAAACTGGTTGCAATCACAACTAACGGCACAAACGCTTCTAGAGAACTAGACTAAATTTCGCAGCAGGTTGCCAACAGAAATTCATCTGAAGGCAACAGGACCATCACGACCCTCTAATGACAAATCAGTGGAGGCGCAACTCTCAATGAAAATGCCAACTGTAGAACCCGGCTCGGTGACGGTTTCAACAGTAGCTATAACATCCGAAGGGACACAACAGAGCACGAGCGAACACCGGGATCCGGGGCAACTGATACTTGAATATATACGAAATTCGTCTCGACAGTCTGCAACCCATCCAAAAAACGATTAGCCGCCGACCTTACCTCGGTCGGCGTAAACGCACTTACTTCATCCATTCTACCCAACCCACTTTTATTCTCCGAGAACCTCTCATGCGTGCACACAAATGCCCAAAGTCTATTCAGCAAATTGGCCGAATTAAGACTTCTACACGTGTCAGCAGCTTGGGACCTCATCGTTATCACGGAAACCTGGTTGCGCTGTAAGATAACGGATGCCGAAATTGTGCTAAAAGGTATGTCTTGTCCGGAATGATCAAGCCAGAAAAGGTGGTGGGATAGCCCTCTACTTTCACAACAACCTGCAGTGCGAACGCATACACGATTCAAAAACCGATGTACCTGACTCTATTTGGTGCAGCTTCCTGCTGAGAGAGGACGATCTTGGCGTAGTGGTTGTTGTTCACCGACCAACATCGTCTACACCTGAGATGAACTGCAAACTGGTGGCTGCATTGAGGCAGGTGATAAACATGAAATACAGTTACGTCCTAGTCGCCGGCGCTTTCAACCTGTACTCTAGAATCCCAGACCACACCAGGAGAGCAATTCATAGCTGATCTGCAAGATCTTCTCTCAGATTTTTCGCTTTATGGCCACATCACTTCGCCCACAGATTCAGGGAAAATAACAGGTCATCCATATTGGACCGAAAAGCCAATAATAAAGAACTGATTATTGAGTGATAATCGATACTCCTCATGTGCACTTGCTAGGTGGAATATCCTGAGGACCGAACTCAAACAACGCGAACCGTAACCAGTTACGACACCTTAACCCGACTCGTTGAAGCGACCGACTGGTGTTTCTTAACCGTGTATAAACCCGATATGTCCTGGGAAAGTTTTGTCAGTAAGTTAACCACCCTGGTTAGTGGAGCATCGGAAACCAAAACTGTCAGTTCCAGAAACATGAAGTCGTTTATATGGAGTAGCACACGCAGACGCATGGTAATGCGCAACGTGGCGTGGTATACCCACAAAACCGATCCGAGTCCGAGTACCTATAAGGCATATGTTGTCCACTGTAGTCAGTGTACCCAATTAGTGCGCGAGGATAAAGTAGCCTATCAACATGCTTTAGCCGAGCGATTAACTACAAATTCTAAGCTTCTGTACAAGCACGGGAACAGTAACCACAAGGTGAAAAGTGGATTTCCCTCTCTTCAAACAGCGCATGGTCTAGCTCGGACTGCTAATGAAGCGTCGCATGTTCTGCAGCAACAACATGCACCAACGTTTCATCGCATCCCGTGGTCTCCTGAATCTTTGGAATCTATGGTGCCCACCCCAGGACACACTGATATAAAGTTTACGGCAGACATTATGATGAGAAATCTGCTATGCATGCACCCGCCCGCATGTCCAGGAATTGACGACATCCGTCCAAAGAAGTTTGCTGTGACGGCTACTATTCTGGCTGAACCTTTGGCGGGGCTGTTTCGGCGCTGCTTTGATGAGTAGCAGGTTTCTTCAATGTGGAAACACAGAATAATAACTCCCATTTCCAAAGGGGGTAGTCGTTCCGACTCAGCTAATTATCGACCAGTGACTCTACTGCCAGTTCTTTTAAAAGTTATGGAGGTTATCGTTGCGGACGCACTCATTTCTTATCTGGATGGCTTTAGTTATATTGTTCAGCAGCAACACGGCTTCCGCCAGAATCGGTGATGCACAATCAATCTATTTGTATCACGAGACAGCTGGACCGAAACTGTGGACGTTGGTGCAGGGGTTGATGTGGCTTACCTTGATTTCTCTAAGGCATTCGACCAGCTGGACCATCTTATCTCTCCTCGGGTGGATCTGTAATTTTCTCTCGCACAGGCGTCTGGAGGTGACAGTACATGAATTCATGTCAGAGCCGATTCACGTCGAATGCGGAGTGCCACAGGGTTCGGTATTGGGGCCCCGTCAATTTTTGCTCTACATAAACGATCTAGTGAGTCAAATTGCGTCAAAGGATTTACTCTACGCCGATGACATCAAAGTTTGACAAGTGATCAGAGCTCCAGAAGACAGTATCCAGCTTCAAATCGATCTTGACAAGATTTATGGATGGTCAGTCAAAAATCGTCTTACCTTCAAGGTGGCTAACTGTCGACTGCTCCATTTAAGACACCGAACGGTTCACACATATAAGCCGGAAGGGCATGATCTACAACGTTGTTCTCTCGAAAAGGATCTCGGTGTCTTGGTTCAGGAAGATCTCGGCTGCTCGGATCAGTCCAAAGAGGCATCGCAGAAGGGGATCCAAATCGTGGGGCTTTTACGGAGAGCTTTCGGGCAATTCGAACCGACGATTTTCCGCCAAATACTTCCCGCTTATGTACGCCCACATGTTGAGTATACAATTCAAGCATGGCACCCATCGCTAAAGCGGGATCTCACGGTCTTGAAGCTTCTACAACGTCTGGTGACCGAAAATGTCAAGGGGCTGCGCCACTTGTCACATGAACAGCGTCTCAGAGTGCAGCGGACGTTATCGTCGTTTGCGTGGCGACCTAATCATGGTTTACCAAATATTAAACAACACTAATCACCCCCTACCATCATCTATTGGAGCTGAGTCACAACAGCCAACTGAGAGGTCATCATCTCAAGTTGGCAGAACAATACAGTCGGTTGGAGTGTCCAAGAAGCTTCTTCTCGCTGCGTGCTTGCCACACGTGGAATACCCTCTCAGAAGCTGATATTTCAGCCCCCACGTTAGCCGGGTTCAAAGCATGTCTCGACAGTTCACTGGCCACACTACACCATATCACGCAATCAAAACGACACATACAGCAGAAAAACAAAAACAAACCAACTCACCTCCATTTTTGCACGGAAACCAAAGACCATAAAAATGTACAGTACATAAAACGGAAGGGAACGCTGTAATCGGCAAGTTCGCAATTTGCAGTTGTTCACTATTTCTTATTGTTATTTTCGCCTTTATTTTGCTCAGCGCTAACCGATCATCCGGCGAGACATGTCAAGCTACGGTTTTTTTTATCCGCAATACACCATTGACCATTGCCACACCCCATGTACCAGCTATTAGATATTATGCGGGAAGTCGGAGAAGAGTCCATGGATGTGCTTTCGTGAGCGGCGGCCGCTCTACTCTTGCAGCATAGATATCACCGCTATTAGCTGAGACAGTCTGACTAAGTAGGAAACATACAACAGCAATGAAGTTATCTGGGTAGGCACTTTAAAATCGCTATGAGAAACAAGTTAAGGTCTAAAAGGAGTCAGAGCTGTACCCAGAGCTGTACCCAAGAAAAGCACCGAATGGAAATTTCATGTTTCTGGTCCCAACAATGCTGTGCTTTTGCCCAGTTGTTTGATTGCAGGAGAACGTTATCGTCGTTTTTATATTGAGAGACAAAGACCAGTAATTTTTGATAAAGGGGGATATCAGAACATAAGGTAATCAGTGAATCATTAGTGAAACAGTAGACGCTTCTTCAGCGCCAAGGCTTTATATCCTGTTAAGATGTGCTGCTACATTCCAAAGATTATTGTATTTAAGCTTTGCAAATTCCACAGTCACCCCCGCAGTGTTCGCGGACCGCTCACATGAAGAACGGTTAGTCACAAAAGTGTGACTCTCTTATGAGAACAATGTGGTAGATAAAAGAATAATGGAGACAAAGTTTGTCGCACATCCTTAGTTTCAGGCGATACCACCAACATTAGGATCATTTCAAAAGAATCAAAAGTCCAGTCGGCAAACTTACGAGTTATTATAACCTGGATGGTCCAAATCATGGCAGATGGATGCTGTGAGCAAAGCACCGAGCTCCTCTCGTGAGAAGATCTTGTTCAAGCCGCATAAATACAACATTCCGTACATCATTTGTGCGACACAAAAACAATGGCGGAAATTGTGAAAAGGATTGTTTCGGTAGTTGGCTTGTATTGAAAGCTAATGGAGAGATGCATGAAAGAGGGGAGTGTGTTGTGCGCCGTATCAGGGACAGTAAAGAAAGAGTGAAGAAAACTGTTGGATTGAATAACGTGCTGCCATTTTCAAATGCAAACTCAGTGTAAAGTGATGCTGAATTTTGCTCTCACTGTGAAATCAGTTGCTGCAGCGGTTGCTGAGACGAGCAAATTTGGTTTCAAGCTTTTCGTCGCAAATCGAGATAGCGGCATCAGTGCGTAAGATTTAGTGGTTTCTTAGCAGGAGCTAGAGGAAGGCAAATTCGGGTAAAGCGATTACCAGCCACTTCTCCATTCTATTCATAGGCTTTTGGTTTGACTAAATTTGGCTTGTTCCAAGAGATTACTCATGCTCTAGGTATGTGTACGGGCAATTACGATCGACTGCGAAAACAGTTCTGCGAGGTGGATGGAATTCTATCACCTGGATTAGTGCAAGATGCATGAAGACAACATTCTAATTCACGTTATGTTTTGTTCATAGTCGGGTAGCGAATTGTTTGCACTCGAATAGTGGTTTTTAATTTGCCTCTGCTCCTTCTACCTCACTAGTTGCTAAACAGGGTCAATGTATATGTGCACATGGATTCAGGTGTTTGTGCAATACCATATCTTGAGGAATACCCTCGTTTTTTGTGACAATGCTTGCGCGAGTATCTCTGCTTTATTCCATTCGAAGTTGTGTCCTTCTTCACCCAAGTGTGCCGAGGCTACGGAGATTATATAATGCTGTTCGCATGTTTTTTGGGTGCGGCGACATCAAGGGATTATAAAGGAATGGTTGGTGACATCCGGATGTGCCTTCTACCAACTTCTGCTACGAAACCGCTAACTCTTACGCATGGATGATGGCTCCACGATTGGTGACGAAACGTTTGTGAGGGAACTATACCGATCGGCGGACGTCGCAACAACTGAACACCTAATTCGAGCCACCAGTATTCGTCTAATCTTGGACGCTGTAGTTTGAATGTCGAACCAAAACTATGTGTATACAGTGACAATCCTCTGAACAGACAGATGCAGTAGTACGTTTAATGTCATTGGAAAACGAAACGCTGGGGTTAATATAAGTTTAGTACTAGGTATGACACACGGCGTAAATTGACGTATCCCTGGTGACAGTATCAAAGCTTCCAAATGTTGTGATCCAGTATTTCATTTTTACCACGCCGATAGGCTACGAGTTCCTCTTTCTATGGCTGTGATTGTCAAATTCATAATTGGTTCATCCATTATAAGGCTAGACAGTATCCTACTGTTTTAAAATCCGTCATGAATCATACACTTCGTGAAACGTCTCACAAATGTCAAAATATCATCTTTGCATAGCCTTCCAATTAAAACACTTTCAGTAATTACCATATTGCACCATTTGGAGGTGGACAGCTGTTGGATACTGCAAGTTCGTAGTGCTGCAAGCTGATAACGCTCCATTTTATGTGCTTCAGTTACGATCACAGGGACCAATTTGACCAAGGTCACATTCAATGCGGATCGTGGTCCACATTGTCACTACACGTCGCAATCCATTCATGCAACGAGTGCCTAAAATGACACAATTCATTTCTAGGTCTCCTGTGCTGAAATACTGCGACCCTAGTGTCCTCTCTTTGACTTTTGCGGGGTCTTTTAAGAAGGGCTACACTTTGATCGTGTGGTCAACATGGCAGGTTTTTAGACACAGTACTTTGTCTAAAGATCCCGACTGGTTTTACGAGCAATTTGTTCCCCAGTAGTCTGGTGTCATGGGCGCCAGCCTAACTTCGGGAAAGCCGAGGTTCGAATCCAGGAGCTCGATGCGTCTTTGTCGGCCGGTGGTCGAAGGAATAAGATGTCTACCTTGTAACCCCAAGGTCGCTGGTTTGAGTCCTCGTAGTTGAAGGGGAAGTCGAAGTATCCGTAGCACAAGCGTGTGACTGTTGGCAGTCGTGTGGCAGCGAAGCGTTGATACAACGCACAGGCGTCCTGATGACGCGCTTTCCAAGTTCTTGTTGTCAGTTAGCCTGATGACTTACTAGCTATGTTCTCTTTTAATGACCTAAGTTAGTTCATTCACTCACTGCAGAATTAGAGACGGAAAACACCGTATACTTCTGTTAAGGGCCTAAAAACTTACTCTTATTTTTTCTGGCACTTCACTGCATTACGATCCAGTGTTACGGTATTTATTACGCGCAATTATCGACCAAAAGAAAGTTCTCAGTATGATGTGCAACCGACTGACGATTGCGCACATCGCCCATTTGGTATTTTGTTCATTTACTTCATTTGAAGTAATGGTGAAAAGACTGGGAATGCACCAAATCATGCGGATAAGTTTAGTTTCTAATTCACTTGACTCGACACTACAAGCCTTCGTGCAGCAAGAGCAGAGCTCCCATATCATTGCACTTAACAGATAACTAATACAATATCAGTCGTTTTGGACAAGACACCATGTGGCTGAGGCATATTCCTCTGGTTGGCCAGCTCGGTTTCCGATGATTGTCGTGGATGCCGAACGCCTAAAGCATGTGCATAATCAGCTTTGGAATTCAGCTGCTCATATTCATCGACGTGCTGTGATGCTCACAGACAAGTGAAAATATGTAAAACAACTGTTAACAGGTTGGCGGTTGCCCTCGACGACCCTGTGCGCGCATAGACACCAGCCAGCTGGCGAAGCCAAGTGCGATGAATGCACATTGAAGTACGCAGGTGTTCGGGTTGAGCAAGTGCTCACCAGACCTTGCTTGAAACATGTGGTAAATCCACTAGCCGAACAGACAGTACGTCTCTTCGTAGTCTCTGGAACGTATCGATGCTCGCCGGCACATTTCGGCTGGAACTGAACACAATTGGACACGCAAAGACATCAGGGAAAAACTCCGTGCTAGCCTGAATAGAGACCGCGGATCCTGGTGATCTCTTCGTGCGTCAGAGATGAAAGTAGCCTCTGCCCTTGGTAACCATCGAAGTTGTTCCGTCTGATACGGGAAACGGTCAGCGGGAGATCTGGTGTTAGGGAAACTATACGTGACGAGAGTGGACAGCTTATCCATAACGTTTGGAGCGCTGGGCTGAGGATTTTGAAAAGCTGTTTAATCGGTCGGAATTGTTGGACTCCTCACCGGCCAGTGATCTCCCTGCCTCCTGGGCTGTCCCTTTGGATCCACCCTCTCGCTCAGAAGTCGAACGTGAGATTGCACTGTTGAAGTTGGATAAGGCCGTAGGACCAGATGATCTTCCCCCAGCTCTCTTCAAATTCGGGGGAGCTACGCTTGTTGATGAGTTACAAGAATTACTAGTGAAACTATGGGAGCAGGAAACTGTCCCAAGCGACTGGTTTTGCTCCGTTATTGTCCCGATTTTCAAAGAAGGCTCACCAACGGAACGCGGTAACCGCAGAGGAATCAGTCTGATCCCGTCGTCTCCAGATTGCTTGTCTCTTTTATCATTCACAGACTGACTGGCGATCGTGAATGCCAGATTCGTGAGCAGCAAGTCGGGTTTCGTTGTGGCCGTGGCTGCATCAACCACATAGTTAGAGTACGTCAATTGCTGGAGCACCATCACATATATTGGCGGCCAAACGTTGTCGTGTTCCACGACATCAAAGATGCCTTCGATTCATTTGATCGACTTGCCCTTTGGGAATAGCTGCTAGGGAAAGGTGTGCCCGAGAAGTATGTAAATACTATGTGCGCACCTCAAGCGCGAAGCTTGGGCAGAATGAGGGCTTATAACAAGCTGTCGCCGCCCTTCATTGGCTCCAGCGGCATAAGACAAATATGCCCGCTGTCATCTTCCTCTTCAATTTCTCTAGTGATAAAGTCATGGAGGACACGAGTTAAAAGGTGTGGAGCTGCTTCCAGGTGAACGACCTTTAGTTGGAGCATGCTGACAATATTGTCTTCAACTGTGACAGCTCCCAAACGTGCCAAACTGCACTGGACAAATTAGCGCTGGCTGTCACCCGTTTTGGGCTGTACTTTGCAACCTTCAATTGCAAAGCCTTCCTACAAGATTGGTATGGACTGCCTCCTGCGCTGACCCTTAGTAGGGATCAGCTAGAAGTCATTCAAAAGTTCAACTACCTAGGTAGTTGTACCAGCGCCGTTGGAATTGAAGACGAGTGCACGAAATGTATGGCAACAGTTCGAGGCGCTTTTGCTAATCTTCGCCACTTATGGCGCCGGTGCAACATCACCATCGCCCTGAAGGGTAGAGTGTACAGTGTAGCGGTACGTTCGACCCTACTGTACGGTTGTGAAACCTGGCCCCTTAGATCAGTCGACATAAAGAGGCTAGTTACGCTCGACCACTAGTGCCTTCGCAGTTTGCCTCATATCTGGTGGGAAGACCGTGTGAGCAGTGAGCGTGTTCGGCGCCTTGTTTATGGCACAGGAAAAGGAAATGAACCGCTCAGCACCGTTATTTCACGCACCAGGCACCGATGGCTCGGCCACGTGTTACGCATGCCAGCCCGCCGACTCCCGCGACGTGCGTAGTTTACATTCCGGTGGTGTGGATGGAAGGTGAGGAGAGGTGGTCAAGCGATGACTTGGTCTAGAGGAATGAAGGCCCTTACTTCGAAGTTGGCCTCGGTTGGAGCCACTTGGCTCCCTGGTTGGGGACCGAAGGACCATGAACACAGTGGGCTGGATACACTTGTTGATATGGCTAGGAGCAGACCTCAATGGCGCTTGTGTTGTGAGTTCCCTTGTCCATCCCCCTCCGCTTAGCCACCCCCTCCAACCACGATCTCAATTAATAGGCATTATATGACTTGTTACGGCACAATAGCCGGCTGTTAGCTCTCCGGAACGATGTCCATCCGTTACTGGTGACTCAGTCGGCATGTCACTGTTTCACTTTTTCTTTTCTTTGTATTGCGGCACGAGTAGCTGAAGAGTTTTCCAGCTGCAGTTAGCGTGTATAATGAGGATGACGCTTAAAAGGGACGAGTTATCATGGCAGCACATTGGCAGTTGGTAACACATCAAGTCCTACCGAGAAATGAAGCACTAAGGATAGTTCGAATGTTAGTCAACAAATTTCTCCGTAGTGTAACATCGGAAGCCAGGAAGGCTCTCTACAAGCGTCAGCACATTGATTGTCTGTTTTCACACCGCCGTGTTCCTGACGATGGTAAACTAGGAATCACAATGACCATGATATAATTCGAATAAAGATGTACTCTCACGATTCAAACATTCATCGGCTGTTGCAGCCAGTTTCCTGTGCGTCAAGAAAGATAAAGGAGGTGTTTATCAACTCGAGAACCTTGTCGAAATCTAGTTGATCAAAATCGAACGTATATGCGCGAGACCGACAGAATAGGTGCTTGTGACTTTAACCCAAATTAGCAAACGGTACAAGAAGTAACCCATGCTGCATCCAGCTAAACAAGGTTTCGTGGTAGCTTTATACACGTGACATGTTCGGAATAATGTTTAGCCTTCTCAAGACACATTAGGGTGCTCTTGAAATAATTGACGAAGTGACTCGGTGTTAACCTGTCTGTAGTCAATGTGAATCGCAGTGAAACCATCTGTTTGCTTGCACACCAAAACATTCGTATAGAGAATTCATTCTCGAAGAAAGCACCCATTCAGATAGTACTCTTAGGACAGAAAAGAAGATATGAGCTTCCGGGGAAAATATAGCGCCAGCTTGGATGTGGGTCAAATCCATGTGAATCTGTTGAATTGTCTTAAAGATCGAATGATGTTCTAGTTAGAAGCGCGGACATTTGAGAACCATCATACACAGCGTCGACTCAATCAGTGAAATGCCCTGATAAAGGCAGAGGACACCACGATTCACTGGTGCGAGGTAGAAACTGAAAATGTGGGTTTGTCGGTCGACAAAATATATTCACCAAGAGGAAAACTAGGGAAAATTATGCACGTGACAACTTCTTGGTTGTGAAGAAAACTCATAAAACTCCGCGGATAATAAAGTTGTAAAGGGACTCAGGTTAGCGTGGTTACGCCTCCATTTGCGTGCAACTTGAAGCGAGGTATGTAAAGCCTATGTTAGTAGAATGGTCACTCCACCATCTGCTCCGGTTTTATTCGTCCAAATGCAGGGTGGTTTATATTCGGCACTACCCGAACATCATCTACAAGCTTGGAGACCATGTTCTGCGTACAGTCATTCAGGAGCGCGACCTTGGACTACAAATCCAGGCTGATCTGTGCTACTAAGAACAACCTAAGAAGGCGTTAATGAATGGAAACCAACCCAATGGCTTGCTGCGAAAGGCATTCGGGCGGTTTGATCCCTCTGTCTCTTCGCATTTGCTTGACACAAACGTGCGATTTCGTGTAGAATACGTAATTCACGTCTGGCAGCCCTGGCACAAGCAAGAGCTCGAAGCCCTAGAGATTTCCCAGCGAAGTCACGAAGCACGTTCCATCTTCCATACCAACTTAGGCTGAGGACGCTAAGATTGTACTGTAGCCGTTAACGGCGCCTACGTGGCGACCTACTAATGGCCTACCGGATTTTGAGGAACCCCAACAATGTCTGCCGCCACCTACTGAAACTCAGTCACAACAGCAAGCTGAGGGGTCACCAGCTCAAGTTGGCCACGCAATACAGTCTGCATACCAGTCAAGGAACACCCTCACAAAGTAAGTTGTTTCCGACCCCACATTATCCTTGTCTAAAATACGTCCACCTAAATTATGAGATATAGCCTATGTACATCGACAGACGATATAATGTGACGAATGTTGCACAACCTGTACTAACCTCTACAATTGTGGTTGGCTCTTTTCTGCATGCCTCTGTTTGAACGCAGTAGTGAGTCCACCAAAACGATTTCCATTTCAACACTTTGTTTCTTTTCCACCAATTTGTGGCGCTCTATCTGGCCATCCTACGGGACTTCTTAAGCATCCGCTTTGTTACCCGTATTATACTATTGTTCAAAACAAGTAGGCACCATTGGGAGTCACACTGATTGGTGAGGTTACTCGGAAGTTCCTATCTTAAACCATCCGCACTACCAGCCGTGATATCCCGTGCGCACAAGTCATGGACGACAGACGAAAAACGTCGGCGTGAATTCCTTGAGTTCCGGCATTGTAATTATTATCGCATATTGGTTTTTCCACCTAGAAAATAACCTATATGGCGGCGCCGTTGGGATCTAACATGTGGACTCAGAAAAACAGGAGGGATTGCGTGCAATAAGGACAAACAATTGGTTTACCATCGTTTACTAACACTGTGTGCATTGTTCACTAGTGGTTTCTTCTGGTCTATTGGGTAAGGACTTCAGACTAATATCCAGGACTTTACAACACTTGTAGTGATGCAGCGGTATATCAAAGCTGACGTCTCCTGATATACTTGTATTCACTCATGTGGGTTATTGCAAGCGACAAGCTTCAACATTACTTGTCGATGCAAGTTACTCCCTTCATTGAGTGTTGCCGGGACGTGTCATCCTCGTCAATAAGACAGAAGTAAAAGTCTATATACTTAAAAAACAAAAAATGACGAGCACTGCAAGATGGCACCACTTCGTATTATCTGAACACTTGCAACCTAACAACATACATAGATCACGTGAATGAATAAAACGATCGTTTTGTATCAGCCAGAAATAAAGACAGGCAGATACAACACCGTATGGTTGAGCTAGGGCAAAGGGCATGAACCGCAAAGAAGCTTAAGGGTTATTGTTAGTTGCAGTTGTAAACAAATAGGACCGCATTGATCAATGGACACGACCTCGGCAAACTTCAGCAGCCTGACTCTTTGGTTTCGGCAGAAAACCACAAAACCCGAGCCGGCATCAACTTGATGACCTGCATTGAGTAGGTATCTAGCGATGGATAATGCCGGCAATTTTCCTGTTGCTCCTTGTCCGATGGCTTATTGTGCCACTAGCCTAGCAGTTCGCTTCGGAATATGTTTATAATCCGCTTAGTCAGACAACGAGTCTTCTGCCAGTGTAACTGCTTCCGCAGCTACAACCGAATTAGTAAATAAAATGAATTGCAGCGGAGACCGGTTGATTAGATTTGATTGGAGGCATCGGCAGCTTCCTAGTTGTCTAGATAGGACAGGGTTTGGAAGCGTTGAACATAAGGCGAATAGCTGTGTTCAAGTTCCTTTGCATTTGCACCCTCACCACACTGTCTTTGAAGGTAGCTGTAAACAGACGGGCATTTTTGAGTCAGCAAGTACCATTGGTATGATTTCCTTCGCTTGACTGAAATTCAATGAATGCTTATGGATATCTATTGGCCCGTAAAATCTGTGTGATGAAGCACAATTACGACTCCACACAGTCGGCACTGCATATTCTATGGGCTAGATTAAACAGAATACAACAATCATCTTGCTTTTATGGATGTATTGTTGACCAAACGAGAATATGGCTTGATAAAACGTTATGTTTAAAGGAAAAGCACATGGACTTACCTGCATGAAAACTTGAACAGCTCTGCACCGGGCAAACACAAGCGTTGTCCGGTTAGGACGCTGTTCAATCCAACCAGTAGGACATGCAGTGCCGACCGTGTGATTCATCACACAGACATTTACGAGCAAACCGTTCGTCACTTATCCCTTCCCTAGCGCGAATTTTCTAGACCAAAACAAAGCTGTGCATGAATTAAGAAACCGGATTATATTATGATGATATCGGTTTCCTTCACTTATTGATTCGTTTTTTGAATTGCATTTATAGCATGATACATCGCTGAAAACGTGTGTAGTGCGGCCGTATATTCCCCCGCTCTGCGTGTATGAAGCATTTTCTTGGCTTGAGCGACACGTTTTGATTTCATTTTTTCTTATTTATTTTTTCATGTTTGCACGAACTAATCGTTGTACGAGAGCCCAAGCTTACAACACTGACGAGACGGTATGAGATGCACGCATCTGCCGATTTTCGTCTCCTTACTGCAATTTTCATTTCATATTACTCATAAGTAGCAGGATTTTAGTTGTAATTTTTAAGGTATCCACCCTAGTAGTTCACAAGTTACATGGCACAGCTAGCCCAGAAAAGCACCAGACGTGTTTCGCCATATTGGGGCTTGTCAGTGGTGCGCATTCCCTCGGCCCTCTAATAGGGCTCGAATCCATGACCGCTAGAGGCAGATGCCAACTAGCCAGCAGCTTAAGACATTGAGCCATGGGGGACGTTAGCTGTGGACGCTGCTTGTAAGAGGAAGCAAATAGTTGGCTTGAATCAATGTTTGTTACACTTATTAACACAAATGTCAGCTAACACCAGTTCATCGTACTCGCGCACATTTCCACTTGACAGTGATCGTGCATCACGTTGAATCTCATGGTGGTTTGGTGCATTAGATTGTTCGCATGAGGCAGTTCAGAGGTCGTGCATGCAATATCCTTGCCTCATCTTTTCGACTTTCGCGATTATGTCAGCGTGTTCAATTTGTGGGATAGAAATACGAGGACAAATCCTGCACGTTGACAACCGATATTCGGCGCAGCGCAGCCGGTGCTTCACATGTGACTCAGTCCTCCACGCCAGGTTGAGGATGACGCGCTAGACCTTGAAAGATTGTCGTAGTATTCAGGTTGAATGAATCATACCACTCTTCAAATGAGCTATACGGACTCATGTTAGCCTCCGAAGCAACGCCGAAATCGCCTGGGGTCTGCGTAGGAGGCTGGTACCGCAAAGCTAAGTATCAATATCAGTGGGTATGTAAGGCTGGGCCTGGGCCTGCCGAGACATGTGGAACACAACGTAAGTCACATGATTGTGTGTTGAATTTGGCACCGTTAGATGTCGAATCATAGAGTTTAACACTGCTGCAGAATCAGCTCTACTTACCAACCACCGCTTTAATGTCAGCGGGTTTATCCTGAATTCTTCTACCAACCCCAATTCATTGTACATGTGTTCCAGCAAAGCTAGCATCTGAAAAGTATGAGGAGAAGTAGATAAGAAAGATAAGGCATTGGGATGCAAATCGCTGCTTGGACAAATTGGCAACATATAAAGAGCTAAGCGTACTTGATATGTTGGGAAAAGATAGATACCTACTATCCTTTGTCCAGCACTATGAACAGCAGACAAAAGAACAAATATGTTACTCTCAAGTGCCGTGAGTAAGCTGTTGCTCTTTAGTTTACACGCACCCCACTCACAATTAAAATACCTCACCATGGTATATTCCACAGCCAAGTGGTAGTGCGGCTACAGTGAACTTCCTGTGAGTGCCAATAGATGGGGATCAAGCATTCGCTGCTCGGTGAGTCTTTCTCAATCGGGCTAGCCTATCTCACTGTAGATGGAATTATCCCGCTCTAATTTACTCGCAAGAAACTCACGTAGCTTTCCTGGGGAATAAATCGCTACGGATATTTATTGTTATAACATTTATCCTGGGATTCATATCGCTAGTAGAGTTACGCCGGAGTGAACACAACAATTTATGGTTTCACAGAATGCCTGGGATCAACGTTACACGAACAAACTGACATTCCATCTATCCTATATAAGAAACGATAAGTTATGAGATTTGGTACAAGATAGATCTCAAAATGTGAAAGACACGGACGAGGCTCCGATCAGATAGGATGATGGAAGTGAAGCGCACAAGATCCACACTCTTATTCGGACTACTGCTATCTCATATGAAGTCACATGCCCCTACACAACAGTAGCCGAAATTCAATACTAAACGGCGATGAAAAGACATGTGCAATTTCAATGTGTGCACAATGGAAGCCTGGCTGCATAAGTATAAAGGGAACGTCTCTTCTAACTGTAGCACCAATTTACTCTAGGTACATCATGCATTATTAAGCCAATACTTTTTAAAGTTAAGGGTTTTCCGGGCTAGGATTATAAAAACAATCCAAGTACCTCAGCTGGTATGCGATAAACTGTGATTAGTAAGTGACTATGCCTAGTGACCAGAAACATCTATAGGAAGATTTTGTCGACAAAAGATCTGGGGTGCTTCGTCTGTTACAAACGTCTTCATCGGCTCGAAGCATATCCGGCGCAAGTGCAAGTGGCTGTGTGAAAACACGAGCAGTAACCGCTTCATTACTGTCCTCCACTCCATCAGCAGCCATTACGCATGTGGGTGGACGAATTGAGTGGAAGTATGCTAGGACAATAATGACGGCGGGAGACAACAACTACATCAGCTGTTAGGGCTTCACCAAACACAGCTGAAGTGCAAATCGAATACCGATTCGCAATTGCGGTAAAACATACGGAATTAGATGCAGCCAAGCAGGTACACAAAAATTAAGTTTGCCATAGCAAACTATTTCAGCCCGTCTGTAATGAAAAAGCCCAAAGCTTTCAACCACAATCCCAACAGTTGACACAAAACCGCTATTAATAGGTCGCATAAAATCACATTATTCTCCTTATCTCCTCATTATATCGAAAAATCTAGGCCCGCTGGGTCGGCCTTTGTAGTATATCTTTTCGGTAAAATCTCGTCAGACCCAAACTTTTACATGACACGGATTATGTGGGGTAAGCGTCAAATCGGGCTGGGATTGATTTCTAAGGTGTTTGAAAGGTCAAGCTCGATGACTTAAGGTGGCTACAGATGGTCAGAAACATGCATCAAAGGAAATTAATACAAGCTTCAGGGCCTAAAGTAAATAGCTAAGGTCACAAACGGTAGTAAAGTAACCATGTCAGTCGGCCAAGGTAGTAGTATCGGCCGTATGAATCGTTTGTGTACGCATAATTCCGGCTTCAGATGATGGATGTAAATAGCCTCGGCGATAGACAAGATTTGCTTTCGGAAGCCTTGTGATAAGCGTTCAGGTAGTGAATAGATGACTTTAAAGTCATTCTCCGATGCAGTATGGCCACTTTCGAGGAGGTGCGACATGATTGAGCTGTCTGGGGCCCTCATTTCGCCTTTGTAAAACCACGCCAGGATGTGCTCGCGAATCCTCTGGGATAGACGTCTCCTTGTGCGACCCACGTATCGTGCACCACAAGAGCACGAGTACTGATAAACGAGCATTGAACGGGTCAACGATGGCAGACTATCTTTCAAGGGTTTTGCGAGCAATGGTTTGTTGTGGTAAACAATTCTTAAGCGGGCTGCGAAATAAGTTTTCTCAACAGCATCTTTCAAACGTCGAGATAGTATACACATATCGTATCTCAAAAGTCCAACGCAGACTGACTTCCGCAGTGGACGTGGCTGTATTGACGATGTAGTCACTCTGCGGCGGGTGTTACAGCAGCGCCACGCATACCGCAGATCAACAATAATTGTAATCCCCTACTTCAACAGTACGTTTGTTTCAGTAGATTAACGCATTTTGTTCGAAATACTTGCGCGGAAAGGTGTTCCCATGAAATATTGAACTATTGAACAATTGAACCCTACGTACGCTATACACGAACACCACAAGCCGCGTCACGGTGTAAGGAAACCTGTCGGATAGCTTTCTGACAACAATTGGCCTTCGTCAGTGTTGTCCGATTTCCCCGTTTTTGTTCAAGTTCGTCCTGGACTCCATCATGGAATGGTCTTTTACGAAATCTCACGATGTAGGTCCTCCCTGCTGAACGATTAGTTGATCTTAATTATGCGGACGATATCGTCTTGTTTTTGGATGCTGTCGCGGAGGCACAATCAAACATGAATAACCTCTCTCGAGTGATCCCATTATTTGGAGTAAGTGCTTCGCACAATCAAAGTGCAAATTGTTGCCACAGTACCACAGCCACGATGAGAACTTGGCTCTTGAAAACGAGGAACTCGAAGTGGCTGATCGATTTACTTACATTGACAGCTGCATCAGCAACGATGGGCGCATGGCAACGGAAGTCACTTCACGTATTGTAAAAGCCAGAACTGCCTTCTTGAACCTGCGGCATCTTCGGCGACAACATCGAGTTTCTCTCAGTATGATAGGCCGTGTTTACAAAGCCACAGTGAGGGCCATCCATACACTATGGGAGTGAGAATTCGTCCCTCCGGGCTGATGATATAAGGAGCCTACAAGTCCTCAATCATCGTTGTCCACGGAGCATTGCTGGTGTTGAGTGGCAGCAGCGTATCTGCAATGATGACGTGCGTAAGCGAGTAGTGAGTAATAATAAGCAAACTAGTTCCTTAGAACAACAGATAGCACTGAATAAGTTGTGTTGGCTCTCCACCTACTACATAAGCCTGGTCTCCGCTTACCTAGTTAAGCCTTGTTTAGTCTGCAAGATATAGGGTGGTGCAAGACCCGACGTTGGCAAAAATGATCTTGGCAGCGTGAAAAGAAGTCACTGACAACCAAACTCGGTGCCGTCACTCCGTCTCGTCTTCCGGACTGGGGTTCACGTGACTCGCCTTGTGCTTGACTCGGGAACTAACAGGATATGGCTCGCAGTCGACACCAGTGGCGCGTCTGCTACCGTCTCTTAGTCGGACTGGCTATTTAAAGTATGTTCGGTGCTGAGTTATCTGCGGGGTAATGGCCGATTATGACGCGGGGTAGTGAAAGCCGCAAGGAAGATGTCTCGCCGATGCCGCTTGATCTTTGTACGATAACCGTCTGTTTGTGACGGTGTGTTGTTAACACAAGATGTAGTCTCCTTGACCCTGGATGTCTCATTAGGGCATTAAGATTTTCAGGTAAAAGTCCCCTTCTCTCCCTCTTATTACCTTTTATTCCATATATCAGCATGGTTGTATGGCAGCGAAGCATCGGTTCAAGTGACTGATATACTTCTGTTATTGATTGGTTAATTGACGGTATTCTGATAACGACCGAAGGAACCAACTTTTGTTGACCTAAGAATTTTCCATTGCAATCAAATCTTATTTAGTCCCTGATCTGAGGGCAATATACATGATACAACTTTGCTCATGAATAGCAACCGCATAGCGCAACACATAAGTTCCCAATTTTGAACTTTTGAATAGAACTCCCGGCCGGTGGTCTGTAACCTACTCTCGGCTAGGGAGGCATTAGCAGGCGAAGTTGAACCGCCTGTTTTGTCATTACAATCGTTGTGCATACCTTTTCCTCAGAACTTGGGAGCGCGCGTGGCCACTGACAAAAGCTAGAATCCACTGTTTCCTAGGTTAATATGCTCGACTGTGTAAAGGTTGAGTCTGTGTTAAAAGCGCCCGCAGCCAGAGGGATACGGTCGGTGTGGACAAACTAAACGTTGGCTTTCGCTCGGTCTGATCAAATACATCTCCTTTATATTCCTACATCATCCCAAGTCCAACTGCCTCTAGAACTGAGCGATGTTCACAACAATCTCAAAGGGGTAAAGTCAGAGCTAATGGTTCTGATGTTCCCTAAGCAGTAGTTTTAGTGGAGTTCTCTCACGCTACGTTTGACAGATATATTCGGCAAATGCCTCATCATGTGTGTAATCTCTGCCAATTGGCCATCAACCAGAACCACTCCGTGGCCCAAGATGGATCGCATAGATAATGTCCAACTGCTTGTACACCTGTACCACTAGGCCATTCACGTTTGTTGGATACAAATATGCTGACAATGTTGTCCTAGGGTGTTTGACTCCCACATTCCACGCTTTGTTAATAATTCAAAATCGATTGGGAGATTTGCTGGAGCAGCCTTAATACAGATCTTTTACTTGCAATGCGTCCACTTGCAATGATGTTACAGTTTCCTTTCCCCATGCTGACACTTTGCAGTCACTCATGAATATCTCCTCCATCCTGTCTGTGAGTGACAACCCCCTACCCAGATTATCCGCCGTATCATTCTTTGTCCCTAAACCCATCTTGGTCCATGCACCTTTGTCAGACCATAAATAGTCAGCAAAATTTCTTCCCATGCTTTTGAACCTAATATGCCTACAGTACCCGTAGCTCAATATTCCAGTTTGTGGCCTTATGCATTATCCCCCATTGGCTTTACTGATCTCACGTATTCTTTCTGGGACTCATACAG